CCCGGCCAGTTCTTGGTGAACTTCGTAGAACAGCTCAAGCCTGTGGTCGAGACAGCCGATTTTTGCTGGGTGCACCAGTACCATTGCGTACAGCATCTACCACCGCAGGGACTTGGAGCGGTGTCCTCCACATAGCTGACTGCCCCTCTCGTTCCGTTCAAGCGCAGTGGCCGCATGGGGAGTTCCAATCTGGACGTGTGGCTTTGGCCCAACATTGGTTGGGCGGCTTGAGCATTTCAGGTGCAGCAGTCTATGCCTGGTCACCTGGTCCGACATGGCCAGGAGCCAAAAAACTCACTGGGTGCCTCTTTGACACTCTCACAGATGTCATGGTGCATAACCGTCAGGGGTGCCGCTATGTGAGTGGAGATTTCAATTTGATGTTGGAGGAGATTCCCGCCATTGAGTACTGGCGAAGTCTTGGCTGGCGTGAAGTACAAGAATTGGACTGGATGCTGAACGGTGTCCCGGTCCGCCCAACATGCAAAGGGGCCACCCAAAAGGATTTTGTGCTGGTCTCTCCTGAGTTGGCCGCACTCTTCCATAGTGCTGAAGTTTTGCCGATATTTGCTGACCATTCAGCCGTGTTTGGCCGCTTCAAGATCCCCACCCATTCGGTCGCAAGTTGGGTCTGGCCTATGCCAGCTCGTACGGACTGGAAGCAAGTGGATGTAACGGGTTGGCAAGCTCAGTGGCAAGATCCGTCTCAAGTGCAGTTAGCTCAAGGTGATCACACACATCAGTTCCGCTGCTGGGCTCGTGATTTCGAGCGTAGCCTGAATGGTCATGTCACCACACCCAGCACACTCCCACCGAGTCAATGGCTGGGTAGAGGACGACATCTTCAACCCACTCAACGTCTCCAGCAAGCTCCACTATGCAGGCCATCTCGACAGGGTGACAAATGCTTGCGCTCGGATTTTGCTGCCCGCGGAGTTCAGTTGTGGTTCCGTCAACTGCGACGCCTTCAGGCTCTTCACCAAAACATGATGAAGAATGATCAGCATATCAATGCTGTCACGTACCGACTAGAGTGCTGGAGCTCTATTTTGCGTGGCAAGGGATTTGTTGGAGGCTTTGCACACTGGTGGCGGACACGCCGCATTAAGTTGCAAGGATCGCCAGAGACATTGGATGATTTAGTGCCGTCTCCGCCCATTGTGGCTCGCATGTTTGACGACTTCTCCCACAACTTCAGGCAATTTGAATCTTGGAACTGCAGGAAACAGCGGGAAATCAGTCGTGCTCGCTTGCAAGCTTTTCGCCACCAAGCTTTCCAGCGCATTCGCTCTCGCTCCAAAGACTATGTGGACACACTGGTTGAGAGCGCTGATGCGGAGATTCTTGCAGTCTCGGAGCAGGGAGACCAAATCCAACTTGAACATCCCCTTGGGAATACAATACATGACCACTTGTCCTGGTGGATTGATGACATGACCGAAATCCAGGTGGAGCATGTGTCTCATGACCTCTATCGAGTCACGGATGCTGACTGCATCATACAGGCTGGACAACTGCTGACTTGTAAGAGTTACTGCACAGAGGTTTCCACTATTCATCAAGCTCTCGGAGACTTTTGGCAACAACGATGGAGCAAACACACAGACGTCAAAGAATCAGAGTGGCAACGCATCCTTGCTTTTGGACGTGCCTTTTTGCCTCGGAAGCCCCTGCCTTATAGACCCCTAGATCTGACTACCTGGACTACAGCCAATGCCAGGTACACTGATCGGTCGGCGCGTGGAGCTGATGGATTCCATCCTCATGATTTGGTGGTTATGCCCCGAGCAAGCAGCATTGCTCCGACTTTTGCATTCGGTGGAGAACTCCTCCAAGGGTTGGCCGCAACAACTGCTCACAGGCTTCACAGCCTGTCTGGCGAAAACTGATACAGCCGCGGCGGTATCGCAATTCCGTCCTCTGGTCATCTTCCCTGCTATTTATCGCAGCTGGGCTACAGCCAGAGCCCGACCTCTTTTGCGCCATATAGCTGAATTGGCCACGGACACTCAATTTGGCTTCATGCCTGGCAGGGAATGCCTGGAGATTACCTTCATGATCCAAGCCCTAGTGGAGATCATGTCGTTGAGCCAAGGTGACATGCAAGGCTTAGTCACTGATGTGCAGAAGGCCTTTGAGAACATCCCCAGAGTGCCGGTCTTGGCATTGGCTCGACATATTGGAGCACCTCCTCCAATACTCCAAGCCTGGGAATCTTTCATGACTCACATGGAACGCAGATTCCAGGTGCGGGGCGCGACAGGTCCAGCACACACTTCCACAGCTGGTGTCCCGGAGGGATGCGCCCTTTCCTGTGTGGCGATGAGTGTTGTTGATCTTGCTTTCCACTACTACATGAAGGAGTTCGCCCCTAGGGTACTACCACTCTCCTTCGTGGACAACTTAGGCCTGCTGACAGCACAAGTGCGAGACCTGTTCCAGGGCACCGTTGTCATGCAAGAGTTCATGGCCATGTGGCGCTTAGACCTTGACCATCGCAAGACCTGGACCTGGTCCACCAAGCTGCATGACCACCATGACCTAAGCACACTTGGCTTTGAGGTGAAGACACATGCCTCTGATTTAGGTGCACAGTTGAGCTATACTGGCCGGCGTCACGTTGATCAGGTACAACAACGGATTGCAAGCCTAGGTCCGCTGTGGCCCAAGTTGCGTCGCATGGAGGCACCTGATGAACTCAAACGCCAACTCCTGGTTGCGGCATTCTGGCCACGTGCCCTGCATGGTACAGCAGTATGCCTCTTAGGCGCCTCTCATTTGGCGTCTTTGAGGACACAAGCAGTCCGAGCATTAGGACATGGACGGGCTGGTGCAGCCCCCCTTGTCCGACTGGCGATGTCTCCCAATTTGAAGAGTGACCCAGGCTACTATCATTTGCTCCTGGTGCTGGATAGCTTTAGGAGGATGGCGAGCAAACAAGACCAGCTGCTGCCGCTTTGGCAGGAGCATCATCGTCAGTTTCGTGGAAGCCTTAAAGCTGGCCCTTTCTCAAAACTGTATGAGGTGTTAGCACCGTTGCACTGGACGTTGCTGGAGCCACCATGGATTCAACCTCGTGGGGGACATGCATTTGATCTGCTGCAAATTCCTACATCGGTTTTGCATAAATTGCTGGAGACGGCATGGATGGAAGTGGTCAGTGCTTCCGTCCACCATCGGGCTGACTTCCAGGGCCTCACTGAAATTGATCGCCCTACCGTTCTCCGGGCCCAGCGACACTTAACACCACTTGCCGCAAGTCAGATCGTGGCTTTACAAGAGGGAGTGTTTTTAACTGGTCGGCAACAACAGCGCTTTGATCGGTTTCAAACTGGTTTGTGTCCATGGTGTGCAGTGCCTGATGACCTGGATCATCGCTGCACTTCGTGCCGCCCCTTGGCTGACATTAGAGCTAGCCATAGTGCCATCCTGCAAGACTGGCACACTTTGCCGGTTGCCTTTCGCCATCGTTTGCTGCCGGGACGATTTCCAGATTGGGAGCATTGGCAATGGTCACTTGGTGAACTCTCCATCCCATGTTTCGATTTCGCTTTTGCTGCTGATGTCACCGTGCCTTGGCATGACATTTTTACTGATGGTTCTTGCCTGCGCCCTGACCAACCTGAATGCTCCTTGGCAGCATGGGCTTGCGTGTCAGCTTCACAGGGCCGTTGCTTGGCTGCTGGACCGTTGCCGGGGCCCTGCCAATCGATTGATCGAAGCGAAACCATGGCTTTGGTAGCAGCGGTTACTTGGGCAGCTCGTGAGGGAGTTGCCATTTCACTCTGGGCTGACAGCGCCTATGCCATCACGGGCATGGTCCGACTTATTTCAGACCCCGGAGCCTTGCCGTATGACACCAACAGTGACTTGTGGCAAGAACTACAGAGCTTGGTTCAGAGTGGTGTCTGTGCAGTGCCAACATGTTGCAGCTCACCGTGAACCTAGCGATTGTTGGTCACCAGTTGATGACTGGACGCTTCGCTGGAATGAAGCTGCTGACAAGGCTGCGAAGGCCGCCCACCACATGAGGGCACCGGAAGTACTGGCCATGTGGCGCCGTTTGTGTGCACACCAAGACCACAACCTTCGTTTGCTGCAGCGGCTACAAGCCCTACATAGTGAGGTGGCTTCCAAGCGCCAAGCACTCCTGAGAGCGCCGTCTGAAGCTGAACCTGAAGCTGAGAGGCTGAATTCAGAGGATCTGGACAATCAGGTCCTGCCTGCGGGTGAGGAAGCATCATGGCTGGATGACTTGGCCCGTCTCCAGCTCTCCCCGAGCACGTTTGGTTTTGGTACCTTCGGACTGCAAATGATACAACATCTACTGCAGGTTGACACGTCACCGGACGTCTTTTTTGTAAGCTGGCTTGAACTTGCCATCTGGGCCTGGGATCGGTATAGAGGAATGATCCCCACTGTAGGACTCCACAAGAATGAATGGGTAGCCCCCTCCAATCCCCTCCACGACCCCGCATGCTGGTCAGGCTCCTCAAACTTTAGCGTCTATTCTTCGGTTTGTTCGTGATTGGATTCGATGCTTTGCTCGTACTTTGTCGCTGCCGGTGGTGGAGGTACGGGGATTAGATCTCACGTCTTGTGGAGTAGCGCCACCCCAAAATGGGCTGGCACTTCGATGGCCAAGGACGGTTGTGGTTCGAGTGCGGTTGTTACTTGGTGAGTTTTGTGGGCGTAGGCCCATCCGAACGGTTAATGATCTTACCAGGCCATTGAAGGCTACGTGGCTCCTCGACCGGTCTCACTAGCCGGTGGGGCACCAGACCCCGGACCCTATGCGGACTGTCCACCGCTGTTGCCGTGGACGCGCATGACTCGCAAGTGTGGACTGTTGAATGTTCTTGGGAGGCTAGGGTGGGTGGCCCATCAGCGGCCTACCAGCAGGGCTGAGCCCAATCACTGGTGATCACTTACACAAGTCCATCCAAGCATCTTCATAAACACAAACATGCCCCCGCTACTCCTCCCCACACTCCCATCTCCTTGAGGGCTGCTCCAAGGGCTTCGACGGTCTGAAGGTCTAGGTGATTGGTCGGCTCATCTAGCACCTCGTCCCGACTTCGCTCGCCGCGTCGCTCCGTGGCGCGTGGGTCCGGGCATCCGGACCAGCATGTGGGGCGCCCGGAGCGTGGCGGCCGCCAGCGCCACGCGGCTCCGCTCGCCGCCCGAGAGGCACCTGGGAGCGAAGACCCGGAGCGTGGGCGAGAAGGTGAAGGGAGCGGAGTGCGAACATGATCCACTCACTGAAGACATGACCTAAGCGATTCCCGTTTGGAACTGCTTTAAGGTAGCTCATCTTATACATGACTGAGTGACCTAGTGTGTCGCACCAGGCTATTCTTGTTGAAGGCTTGTGTCGCACCGGGCGGTCTGCGACGACAACCGCTCAGATGATCGAGGAGGTTAAAAACAAATCACGGTGCTTCAGGACTTTGGGATGGAGCCAATTAGGAGATCTTACGTATTCTTACGTCAATCTCTTGGGCTTTGACCCAAGACCATAGACTTATCGACAAACGTTTGAGATACCTTTTGCACTGCAAACGCCTTTTCGCGCATGGATTCCGATGACCTGCCAGTGATGCAGGACTTTGTCCAACACGCAGGGGCTGTAACCGCAACCAATCAGCTCCCCTCTGCGCAAATGCACGTGCACTTTCAGGTTGCGCCTGATGGGTTGCACCGCCAGGCGCCCTAGGCCGAAGCTGCCAAGATGAGCACGGACCTCCTGTTCTTTCAGGTTCGGCTGACCTCGCGGACACGTTGACGCGGCAGGCGTTGGTGGTCGTTTTCAGCTAAGTGGAGGATAGACCCAACTGCTTGGCTCCGCCCAACTCATTTCGAAGAGAAGGAGAGTCATCCATAGTCATCCCATCCTTCTGACCAACACAGACGTGCCACGCTCGCAAAGGGCCGCCAGGGGCGTTGCATCCACCGGCAGGTCATCCGCCTCATCTGGCCGGGGTTGGTGGTTTCATGCGTAAAATCCGCGCGTTGAGGTGTTTGATCCTTGCGCCCCCAACCTTAACCCAAAAATCACCAGAAAGTGTGAAAAGATCCACCATGTCCCAAAAGAAATCAGAAACATTTTTCGCCAGGGTCGGACCTGTGCCTTCATCCGCCATCCCTCCGTTTCGACCTCCGTTTCGACCTCCAGGGCTGAAACACGGTGCCTGGTGCTGATCGAAGAAGCCCACCACAACACCTGGAGCGAAGGATGAGCGACTGACTTCTGAGGATGGGATCAATTTATAAACATACCATGTGACAGTGTAGGGGGAAGGGGCTGTACCAACTCAACAGGTCAGCAGGCTACTTTGCATGAAAGACGTGCACATGAGACGTTTCATTCTGACTCTGCCTTCATTCGCTGTTCCACATACTTGATCAAGGATCCACTTCGGCACCGAGCGAAGCCACTGCATTCTGGACGGCATTTTGCTTGATTCAGAACCAATCGCCCCCATCGAAACCAAAAAAACCTCTCAAACGCCCGGACAGAGGTGCTCCTCTTGGGTGCCTTGATGTGCCTTGATATGCCTTGATGTGCCTTGTGAGGATTGATGAAACAGGATGGAGCAGCTTAGCATGGAAAAAACACCGACCTCCACCCGTCGGTCGTCGTCCGAAACTCCCGTCTGTCGTTTTTGTACCGGCTCCGCAGGCAGGGCACGGGGTTGCTGGTAGACTTCCCCCGCCAGCACCGGCAGCTGGTTGACCAAAGTTCGCAGCAACGTGGTCTTGCCACTGCCGTTCACCCCAAGAATTCCTAGAGCTGGGCGTGGCCCGTGTTGGTCCATGGTATTAGGTTATTAGGGTATGATTGGGATGGGGTCTAGAAAGGAGTCCATATGTCTGGCCATCCATTGTTGTGTCTTACAATCAACTGAACCTCCCCCCACTAACTAAAAGAATGCCCTGAGCTGTGAGTCCTATGCGGGACTGCGCGCGGACGTCCAGATCAAACTTCCTCACCAGCGGCGCTGTCTTGTCCTAGGATCAAAGGATCTGCCGATCTGCAGGAGCACAGTGAGGGATCCGCAGCCTTGTCAGTATGCAAACTGGATAGGTTCCATGAAGCCATCCTAATTGAAAATGGTTCCCAAAACAGAAGTGTAACTGTGAAGATATTGTGAGAAGCTTGGAGAGGCTCCAATTCATCGCCCCTGGAAGACTTGTCTGCTTGTTTTCATGCCGACAATGCCCACCGCAGTGAGAAAACTTGATAAACAGTTCAATGCTATTGTGACCCGAATTTGCATGGCAGGCGTATATAATGTTCTTGAGATTTCTTCAGCCTGCAGCAAGACAAGCCCAAAATGCGAGCTCCAACAGTCACACCACCTGCAGAAGTTCATCTTCCTCTTCCATGCCTCCACTTCCCACTTGCGCTACTCAACTTGGATGTCCTCCAAAGAATATCGTTAGCAACCCTGCCTGGCCCTGCTGCTAAAAGTTGAATGGAGTTGCCCCATCATCCTCTGGCCCGAAGCCAAGGTAGTGGACATGATTCACTCAAAATGAAAACGTTCCGTGCCATTGATGCTCCCAAACAATGGATGAGAAAGAACTCCATCCACCCGGATTTACTCGGATCCAAACACCTCAAAACGATCACCCCTATAGTACTCACCCCTAGCACTTCAAGCGCCACTCTGTGAACCAAAAACACGAGAAAGGCACGTCCGAGTGACGTGTTGAAGGGGTCGTTCTGCCATTTTCTTCGACCCACACAGTTCAACTCCTCTCCCGACCGCCTCCGAAAGCGCCTCCGAGAGCACCAAGGGGCATATCCCACCTGCACCTCTCGACACTGCAGCAGCGCGGCCTCGAAGGGCAGCGGCGCGGCCGCCTTCAACTTCAAGTGGACCGCCTGCTCCTGCGAAGGTTTTGGCTGCGAGAGTCATCCGGTGGTGTTACCAGCTGGGCCCTCAAGTCCCGTCCCAAGCGCAGCTTGACTCGACTCCCAGCTCGGTGCTCCTTGTTCTCAACGGTGGCCTGGCACCCACGCAACGAAAAGCGGGAAGTTGACATCTGCGTCGAGACAAAAGTGATTAAGAACATCTCCATGATCAAAGCATATCAACTCACCAGGGCCATTCGAAAGCATCCTCCAGCGCCGCTCCAATGGGAAGTCCCTGCAGACTTCGAGGTGCCTGCTCCATCGCTTCGAAGTGTGTGGCATAGCTGAACTTGAACTTGTGGCCTCAACTTGTCAACTTTGTCCCATGCAAATGGGCATCTTCAGGTGAACAAGCACGGTCTCTCTTCTAGGATGGGTGATGAGTCTAAGAGTCTAGGATTTGAGCGGGGGGCTGCCAGTTAATTGACACAACTCCCTGGGACGAATGTGGGAAACGAACTCCTGATGGTTTGTTTCGTGACCTGCCCATGACTGGGTGGTGGCCTGTTCTTGATGCTCTAGCAACATCTGAAGGGACTGTTGGGTGGTTAATTCACCTTTCACAACCAAGTGACATCGTGCACTTCAGACCCTACAAAAAGATTCTATATAGTGACCAAGGCGACCCAATACTTTCTAGTCAGGGATTCTTTATCTTATATATCGACTTTTGGGGGCACTCCTCCTACTTGGCCCTCAAAATCTGTACGCCGTCTGCCGGAAGGACCGTGTGGATCTGGCCTCCCGCGCGCTCCAGGCCCACGCGGTTGAAGGACCAGGGCTTGTCATCCAGGCCCATCTTGGTCCTTCGGCTGGCGACGGCCTGGCGCGGCGTGGCCACGGGCGCGGCGTGGCCAAGGGCGCGGCGTAAGTTTACGCTGCATCTTCCTTATGGACAGTGGGTCGTGCTTCACTGCGACACTCCTTGAAATCTTCATGGAAGTGGAGTGGAGTTCACCACCTGTGTATAAAGGAAAGGATGGAAAAGGGTCATCCGAAATCGGGGCCGTGCCATCCACTTCCATTTCGGGGAGTGCATGTCTTGCTTCAAACGCCCAAGACATTTGCTGATGGAGTAGAAAATCATCTATCTATGATTAAAACCCCTGGCCGGGCCCTTCCATCAATTCCAATTCATCCAAGACTTCTGTTGGAATCTTTACAGCCCGATTGCTCGGAAGAAAACTGACTGAGCAGGGCAGCCTTCAACAGGTTGTCGTTGTTGGTCTTCCTGCCCCGTTGTTCCATCTCCTTGATCTGCTTCTCCATCTTGTCCTCAAGAAGCATCCTTTGCTGAATGATTCTGGAACACCTTTTTAAAAACTTGAATACCACCACATGTTCATCAACGCTTGGTTTTCAAGAAGAGCTTCGTGGAAGTTCGAAGTTCCTTCCCGGAGCCCACAGAAAACCTATAGACCTATAGGCCCTCAACCTTTCCCAACAAATCCTCAAGCTCAGTGCACATTCAGTGCACATTCTCAACAAAACACTCCCCTCCGCGGGAAGTTCCGTCCTGCTTATCCTGCTGCCTCTCTGCCAGATCGGCACGGTGCTGCTGGTCTCGCTGATGCGCCTCCTCGAAGGCAGAGTAATTGCCTCAGACGTCCAACCCACCAAAGCCCGGCATGACATAAGGCAGCAGCAGCAGCAGCAGCAGTGGAAGTAGAAGTGGAAGTGGAAGTGGTGGCTTTGCAAAACGGTGATCCAAAAGGTATTCTGGCACCTGTCCCGATGGCTTGCCCATTGCTGAAATGGCTACCAAACTCGGTGGCTGTAGGTCCTTTCGTGATCCATCCCCGGTTGCCCGGGCAAGCGCAAGGTTGGCCCACGATCGATCGCGCCTGCATGGATTTGCAGCTTCATGTCAAACAGTCGCAGCGTTGTGGTACTGACCTGCCAGGTTGGCACAGCTGAACCTCTTCAGAAAAGGGACACCCTCCCTCAGTGGAGCTCACTGGCCACAGTGTTACGCCTCAAGACATGTACCGGATATGATATATATTTTCTAATACACGTGCCATGCCCCTCGCATCCACTCTTCCACAGAAAGCCGCAGAGATCTCCACAGTTCAACCATCGTCACAACCATCTCCCAGTCCATCGAAGCACCTCCCTTTCCGCCCTCCACCAAAAACAACCGAAGACGCCACCCTACCTTGGATCATCTGGGAACCTCCCCCCAGTCGCGGTACCGCCCGCCGCGGTACCGCCGCCTTGTCGAGGAAGTCCCGGTCGTGCGAGACCACCACCAGCGCCACCTCTGAGAGCTCGTCCGAGATCAGGTATCCTCCGGTGCCCGGTGCCACGGTTCGGTCCCTGCTGGTGGGACTCGAACGGGCGGTCAAGTGGTCAACCAATCACTTGGCCTTGTATGGTTTTAGGAGTTGTTTTATGATGTTCATCGCTTCAAGGCCCCCAAAAAAGAACGGGCTCGAGGGGGAAAAGACCAAATGTTCTACAGAAACTCGGTCAACAGAGTGCCGCGAGCCCAGCCAAGCATCGTTCGAGCCAAAGGATTGCTTCCCAATCCAGGTGGTTCGTAGGCTCGTCCAAGAGAAGCACCTGGGCTGGTCGCTAAGAAAAAGGAAAACGCCAAATCTTAAGACTTCCAAAACAGGTGAGAGGCGCATATTCATGTTAATTATGTTGTTTTGTAATCAGTTCTGTTCTGATTTTGGTATGGTCGCAGGTTATAAAATATGGCGTGAACCTGTGGTTGGCGTTTTTTGTACGGATTTTGTTTTGCTCATTTATGAAATTAATATGTAGTATGATATCCTTTTCCGAGGGATGGAGGAAGGTGCCTAAAGGCTACCAGAAGGCTTCTCCTGTGGGCCAAAGATGATGAGAAAGGTCCCTTGTAGGGTCGATGCGGCTCCTGGTGGCTGGACTGTGCCGCAAACATAAGAAAACCATATCAGCACCATAACCACAAATCGGATCAAAAGCGCAACAGCAAGTCATAGCCTAACACATTATCCTAACAAAGTATTGCACACAATTTTGCAGACGTGCCTCTGTCACTCACTGACAAGTCATAGTGCAAATCCATAGGATACTGAGACGACAACAACCACACCAACCAAACAACCAACACACAGGGTATTGAATGTGATTGAAGAATTTCTTTCCATACCCTGACAAGCACTCTCAGTGAGACACACCGCCGGCCCCCGCCACTCCCCACTCATCTCCACTGGTCTTGGCGCGTTGGGCTTGGCCAGCAGTGCCTTGGCCAAGGCCACCCGCATGCGCCAGCCGCCGCTGAGCAGCCGCGTGGGGCGTTGCAGGTCTGCCGTCACGAAGCCCAAGCCTTTCAACAAGACTTCAGCCTGGCCTGCACGACGCGCGGCGGTGTGGGCACGAAGGGCACGAACCTTCGACCGCATCGCGGAGTTGGGAGGGTGGAGGTCTGTACCAACATGCCGGCATAGGGGAGGGTGAAGCATTAGTGAAGCATGGCTTGGGTTGAAGGGAACCTGTTGGAAGCCTAATTTCAAGCAGTTCTCTCAAAACGGATTCTTTCCATGGAGAGAGTAAGGATCGCTAGGAGTTGGCCTGCCAGGATAAAGATTTGACAACTTGAATGGAACCCACCCTTCAAAGACATATGTATAAACATGTCCAAAGTCGAAGGGAAAAACGTTTGATATTCTCCAAATCCAAGCCATCAATGCTCCGGACATGCTCTGTTAAAGAAATCTCACGCCCTGCAAAATCAAATAATTACAAGCATCCACCCACGTTTTTTCCCCACCACGGGCCTCGCATGGCCTCGGCGCCTAAGCTCCTCAGCCGATCCCGGACGTCCGCCAGCAGCTGCACCGCCCGCGCCTCCTCCTCCGGCGCTGCAGCCAAGCCTTTGGGCTCGGCCAAGGCTGCGGCGGCCTCGGGCGTGGGGGGGGTGGGGGGAAGAAAGACCATCAGGAAAAGCTTACAAGATCTATAAGGCAGCCTAAAGAAAACTAATTAAGCTGGTGCAAGTGGGAAAGCTCGCTGGATCCGATCCCGTTCTTCCACGCAATCAGAGAACCCCCCAGAACCGCCGCTGTCGTGGTGATCGCTTGCCTGGCGTTCCTCGTCCTCCGCCAGCAGTAAGGCCTCGCGCGCGGCCTTTCCGCGCAAGCCACTGAGCTTGCTCTCATACCTTTCCGCGCGCGGAAGGGCATTTCGTGCGTTTCTTGTCCGGTGCGTTGCTGCATCAACTCACAGACAAAGGCACAGAATTGTAGACCCTTAGACGAAACTCAAAAGGCTGAAAACAAAGACTGGAAGATGGTGTTTGGTTTGTTTAGGCTCTGACAGATCGGCAGATCCGAACATCATCTTCCCAATTTTTTCTGCGTTTCTTCCCTGCTGTCAACATGTCGACTGAAGTGTAGTATTGGGGTGTGTTCCATTGTTCCATCATGTTCCATCGTGCTCTGCCAGATTGTGCAACTGCACTGCCGAATTGAAAACGTTTGGGATGCCACAATTAGGTGCTATCTTCCCATCTTGTCCGAGGGGCATCGTGGCTTTGAACAAGGCCCGCTTGGCCATCAAGTGCCGGTGCGACTGCAAAGCCTCCGAAACCGAGAAAATACTCACTGTGGCCGGACGCCTGGTGCCATGATGCTTTAAAAGCGAAGCTACAAGTGGGGAGAGCACTGACTATAGTCTCAAACTGAGGGTCCCTATGGTCCCTCAATCTCCACCCTTCACGTAGGTTGGCCGATTCTCCCTTCACTTCGGCTAGCCAACGATCGACCAAGCCTTCAGAGCATCCTGATCTGCCAGTGAGGCCTCCTCTTCCAGCAGTTCTCCTCAGACTCGGCGGCCACACGGCTGAAATGAATTTGGCAAAAGCTCCCACCATCCCACTGGGATTTGGCACTCCACGGAGTTGACACCTCTGTCGTTCCACGGAGCTGCGGAAGATGCGACCAACCCTACATCCTTCGCATCTGCGACGGCCATGCACTCTCTCTGGGTTCGTTCCCATGTCCGCTGGGCGCGTTGACACGTCTTTCGTTGGGCCCCGAACCCATTTTATGGAGCAGTCGTTCCCCTCTTGCGTGGCGTCAGGCTCCCAAAGCCATATGGCCAACATGTCTGTGGTATTCGGTGACTGATGAGTTCGGAGAGCCCGGCTCTCTCAGGTGGTCGGCGTATGAAATTATAAGCCTCAAGATGAGGGAGCGGGATGGAAAGTTCCATCAACTCGATGAGAGCTCACGATTGTCAAGCGGAATCCTTCCCTTCTGGGACACCCAAGTGTTAGCTACAGGCGTTTTTTGTTCGTGGGAGGTCTCCCTGTTTCACTGGTTCTGGAAGAGGTCTGGTATGAACAAAATGACATAGTGGATTCACTTTCAACTTGATAGTTGAAGCCCTGTCAAAATGGGCTTCAAACAAGTGAATAATCTATCTATACTCTAAAATTTGAGGCACAAACTACCCGGGTGAGCTAGTAAACCTGCACTGATCCCTACCAACACATGCTCGGAGTTTATGTCATCTGCCAGGTCAATCACCAATCGGCCGGAATGGACCCAGGGTCACTGCTCCAAGTTTTCAGGAAACCCCGAAGTCCTCAAGAAACTGCTTGCTAGGATCGTCCACACGATCCACCACTGAACGTTCTCCGGCCTATTCAAAGGCCCCACCTCTTCCACACCAGCTCCCACCAGCTCCAGCTCCACCCTCCATCACCCTCCTCCAAGCAGCCCAGCTCTTGGTGTGCGGACAGCACCGTCTCCACCGCGGAGCGCTCGTCTCCCACGTCCTCTTGGTCCACGAGCAGCGTCACGCAGTTCGGTGGGTAGCCGGGGATCCGCCTAGACGCCATGGACCTGAAGCAGAGGGAGGACGTGAATAGGCCAAAAGAAGAGAGGGGGACTTGAAGGTTTCAGCCTCCACAACTGCATCTTGAATTGACCCTATTAATATATACTGATACTCGAATTATCTCGAATTAGTCCAATGATTCAGTGACTTGTCATGCCACAATGCCACGACGCCGCCTGAAGAGCGTGGACTTGCCGCAGCCATTGCGGCCCACGAAGCCATAGCGCTGCCCAGGACACAGCTTCAGGTGGGCGTCCTCGCGCTGTGCGCGCTGCTCCGGGCCATCGCTAGCAGGCTGGAGGCCATCGCTAGTAGGTTGGAGGCCGTTTCTACTAGTAACAAGCAGCTCCGAACGTAGCTTTCGGACGCTATTAATAGGTGGAGGCCCCTCGCGGTTGGAGATGTCTCGGTCGGTCGGTCAGAAGGTCGGTGGTGTCCGAGAAGCGGTCGTCACCGTTGTCAGGCTGGACGGAGAAGCGGTCGATGGGGTCCATGGGGTCTCCTCATGTGGTCCAAAAGCACCTCGGCCTTGAAGTTCAGAGATGTTCGGGCCAGTCAAGCTGCTCAGTTCTTCTTGCTTCAAACACTCTCCAGCGAAATGTCCCGAAGGAGGGTGAGCGCATGCCCCAAATCACTTACTCTGAGCGGCGCTCTGGTGTCGGGTCTTGTTTGCGTGGGTTCATCAGGAAATGCATCTTTAATGTGTCCACCGCTCCTTCAGAAATATGGACACCACCACACGTGCCCATTCATTGTATGCCAGGCAAGTGTTGGTGACGGCGATGCTTCCTGGAGAGTGAGCTATCGTTTCTCCCCGAGCCTTTCAAATCATGGCGGCTCGATTTGATTCCAAAAAGTTCCTTCTGCTCCAAAGCAACTCCCTACCAGTCTTGGGGGCAGTCACTCACCAACGGTCGGCACCTATCATCCATCCTATCATATCTATCATCCAGAAACCCATGTTCTGAAGCACCGTTCTCAGCTCGTCACGTCCCAGACCGCGTCTTGCGAACGAACGCCATCCTTGAGCAGGTCCCTTCCGGCGACAGAGATGCAAAGGTCATGAACGTCCACCTGTGTGAAACAGGCCGGCCGAGTGGTCGAACACCCCGGTCGCACACAAAGGAAATATATACCTTCACCCCAGTTCGGGTTGAAGTTTCAACGTGAGATGCAAATAAGTATTGTTTTCATGATTTTGGTCGAATTTACACGTCTGAACGGATATTCTCATGTTTTACGGAAATTATCGTCCGTAGACTGTGGGCTGTTCATTGGTCCAAACTATCATGCAAATTCACGCCAACTCATCATCCAGAATATTATACTCAAATCTTGGAGGTCAGGATAAACCCTTCAAACACGCCAACAAACATTAACAAACCCTTGAACCTTCACCCATTAATGCTTTGGATATATAGGGGTCCTTCCATCCCGAGAACTCCACTGTCTTTTTCCGCTGCCCTCCCCACAACTATAGTGGTATCACGACTATAGTATTCCCCTACCAGCCTTTCAATACATTCGATTTGGAGATCTACCTTGTCTATCTATATGGAGGCATGACTACATTGGCTATAATATTGATCTTCTTGCGTTAGTCAGTTGGGGGATTACATGGAAAAAACAATGCAGAAACCCTTGAACATGTTTCAATACTTCCGTCAGAAACCCAATGTTTTTGTGGATGAAGTCGCAGCCGGCGGCGAAGGCGTGGCGAACGTGGGGGACGAGGACTCCACCAATGATGGGCTATATACTGTGTGCAACTCAACACGCGACGACCTGTTTCAGTTCGCATTTCAGCTGCAAAACACCAACACCTGGCACGCGTTCCGCGGCTGAACAACCCTTGTCTTGAGGGACTTCCCAAACACCACACCATGACACCCACCGGTCCGCATCGGCCTCGGCCTCCCCCTCCTTCCCGCCTCGGCGATCGCCGCGCTGATCTCGTCCTCCACGGCTTCGCGGTGGAACCGGGAGACGCGCGCCTTCACCTGCCCGGTTGGAGCAGGGCCAGGCTCCGGCAAGTGAAGCCAGGGTCAGCGCAAGCCAGCAGGGTTCTTGCTTTTTGTGGTCTTGTTTGCAGGCTTGAGTTTGATTGTGGATTGGTGTGCCCGACATGAGCCACAAACAAAGGGTCAAATGAGCAGGAAGCCTCTGGTAAATAAAGATGAAGTCTGATGAAGTAAAGTAATTACCCAAATTCACAAGAATGAACGGGTGCCAAATGGATCAAAATGATATTATGCTCCAATTCTTCAACAAGCCCATTCAGCATGATGAACTGCTGCTAGCGCTCTTGGGGTGCTCTTCGGAGCGCTCCCAAGAGTCTTCAGCCGAAAACAGCGTTAAGGGGTTGAAGCACCCTGCTTCGTTACAGAGACCTCTCCCAAACCGCTCGGCCTTGTTCTCGTTTTGGCTTCCTCGTTGGCCCGCGAACCACCAAAAGCCTTGTCTTAATTGCAAGTCGAACTGGGGGGCAAGACCACTCGCAACTCCCAAACCCTGCCGATGGGGTCCCTCCCTCCAGTCCATGAGTGCCAGTTCGCGCGGAGCAGACCGGATGAGCGCGGACGAGTCCGGGCGGACGGCGCACCTCCACCAAGGACTCCCAGGGTGCCGGTTCTGCAGTGCTTTTCAGGTCCTTCGCCTCAATCGATGTGTCGAAGGCTGGTTCGGTGTATCACCAAGGCTTGGCCGGCTTGGCGATGGCGTCATGCGAGCGATGAAGCACCGGTCTACCGTCTGGGCATCCGAGCTTTCCAACTTCAAATGTTCTTTAAAGGATTCTAAAGGTATCGTTTGGATTCTTTTGGTATGAGCCCATCACATTATGGTGTTCATTCGCAGGGCGGAACGAACACCGTCAGCGGCCTCCTTCGCCTTCTTCTTCGCACGGCCCTTCACCTTGCTCTTGGCCCCTTGGTCGCGTAGAGCTTTCCACACAGTGATCTGATGAAGGTTCTTTGAGGAGACTGTGGAGGGATGTGCAGGGTATTGAAATGGAACCGGGAACATTGCACAAGGGCCATACATGGCCATACTAGACCCCTGTGATAAAAGCCGTTGACTGTGCCAACCTTTGGAAGATCGGAAGAAATTGCTAGAGTACAACACCAGCAGCCTGGCGCTTCCTGCGACAGAAATCACAGGTGCCGGACCCTCCTCCTCCACCGGCTCCATCGGCTCCTGAAGAAGTTCATCGACCAAAAACGACGGGCACCGGCGCCATCTGGTGGGACCAGTGGTGGAGGGCTGCCTGGCCAGTGAGCGATGGCCTCCACCCTACTAGCGATGGCCTCGACTTTAAGAGCAATCGCCTCCACCCTGCTCGTAGGCCCCAGTGAGGGCTCGCGTCGGATGGCCTTTCGAGAATCTGGGGTGGAGCTTCTCAATTAATGTACTGTATATATAGTTGTCAGTAGCTCATTGATACCAAAGGGGCCCAGACTTTCAGAGTGTGACAAGTTGGGCTAATGAGGGAAGGGTTCTTGAAGTGCTTTGAATGTCAGTAACCTGTAGATGCCTGTAGATTCCTGCAAGCTTTGCTTCTTTGCTCCACCCCTTGCTTATCCTTGCAGGCTAAAGGGCAGAAGAGCTTCACCTGTCGATCAAATTGCAGGTGGAGCTTGACAGTCGGCCGGCAGAGCCCCAAAACCACTGGGTTGTAAAGGAAAATTGGCTGAAACCACTGGTCGATTCTTGGGCTCCATGTTAGTTTGCTGGAGTGTAGCAGGTGTCTGCTGCAGCACGGAAACGCACTTTCTACCGTCTTTCACGCTCCTCCGTCTGCGTGAGCCCAGTGGGATACCCAAGACCTGAAGCCAGCACGTCCAGATGGGGAGGGGGGGCAGTTACCAGCTTGAGAAACATGGGCCCCCTTGACCTGCCAGCTACGAGCTCCATCGGATCGGCCCACATGGTCTCCCCCGAGAAAACTCCTTCCGGTCACCGCTGAAACAAGGAAAAACGGCTCGTTTTCGGGCCGAATCGGGCCGAACGGGGGTGTTTTTGGGTCGTGGCCTGCCAAAAGGAGGCCTTGGTCTGTGTAAACATGCCTTCACGTAGCTCGGTCTCCCCACAGTGGCGCGCTGGTGCCGGCGGCACGGGTTCCGGCGCCGCGGGTTCCGGAGCAGTCAGGTTCAGCGCGGCGCAGAGGCGCTGGAGGCCGCTGGCTTCGGCCTGGTGACGGGGGAGGCACCTGGTTTACATTGGATCCACTGCTAGGGTTGGAAAGAGAAGAAGCGATGGAATAGGACACCTAGAAACTATAGTAGCAGAAACACGGGTGGCGCAACTCGAAAGATGCCGTCCTATCTCGTCACTACCCGTCCGGAGCATCAAACATGTCCCCAAAGGTGGTAGTGAGATATAGTGAGACCACTAGTGAGACCTCAAGGACTCGCCTGAGAAACAACAGAAATGCTGTACTTGCAAACGTCACCTGTGATGGCATGGCTCTTCTCAAGAGTCCATCCCTCCGTCCATCCCTCCCTCCCTCCCTCCCTCCCTCCGTCCATCCATCCATCCATCCATCCATATCTGTCTTTCTTTGCAGACTTGGACTGAACATGAACAGGACATCAGTCTCAAAACAGGGTGGCCGCGCAAAGACCGCGATAAGAGACAACAAACAAACCATAAAGCGGCACATACTGATGATGGACCAAGTCCATTATGCTCTTTCTCTGTGGGCAATTTGTGGATACTCGGATATATATACTCGGAATGCGGTCATTGACAAAGGAACCTGCCCATACATGGAGCTCCGCTGCCTCTCGTAGATCGACTCAGCTGTCCACCCAACTCTCCGAATCTCCAAGGGCCCTCGGGCCCAGGAGGAACCAAAAATGCCCTCGTCCACTGCCTCATCCAACCAACCTTCGCAACATTCTCGGACCTCCTCCTGGAGCCGAGAAATGACCAAACAATGCAACGCTGAATTTCACAAACTGCGTGAAAGGACAGAGTGAGCAAGCAAATACAACTCTTTAGCTGCTCCATGCCGGGCCATAGCCATAGCCTTCATTTTCCCTCCCAAAACGTCGTCAACACCGGCAACGTGTCACCTCAGTGGTGGCATCTGCCAGTGCGGCGGATAAGTAGCTCACCACGCTGTCCTCGTGGGGATGGGAGATGCGAGGCGAAACCGAAAAAAGAAATCCAGAGAGGAAGTCTACTTTCTCAGATCCTTGATGAAGGATTCTGAAAAATTCGGAAAAAGAACTCATGATTTCCTTGTTGGCCTCTCCTGGAGGAATTCCAATGAGAGCCTTTTGATGTCCTCGTCTCCTTGATTAACCGACATGGTCAAACATAGTGAAACACCAAACGCGAAAGTGTATAAGAATCAGCACCTAGCAGTTAAGCTAAGGGTTCATCCCCCATCGCCAGTTCATCCCCATCGTGGTCCACTTAGGGTTTGTCATGTCTCCCAACATGTCGGTGGCACGGAAGACCTTCCGAAGCTACACTCCTTTCAGCTTCACATCTAGAGAATCAATTGAAAAGCTCAAAAGGCTCCAAAACACGTATTTGGACACTTGAATTTGTTTGGTGTTTCACCATGTTTGACCATGTCCTCGTCTCCTTGTGGAATAACCTCCCAGTTCCCTCACTTGTTCTTGCATTGTCGACCAGACCTTGAGGAGTACAGAAGAGCTTGACTGGCGCTGGAAGTGGTGCGTCGTTCAAATTGAAGTGGCGCTGACGCAGAAGTGGATGGCCAACCTCTTTACACAGCAGCTTTACACCAATCGCAGTTCATCCGGTGTTGGTGGCCAGCCGTGCTCACACCCCGTGCTGTGGCGCTCGGCCCGTTTCACCAGCCGTGCGAAGCCGCACGACGTCCGCTTCCGGACACCGCGTCGCGACCTGTGACCAGCGCACCTCGGCGTGGGGCGCCAGCTCCCGAAGCAGCGTCTCCAACATGGGAAGCGCGGGGGGGTGGAGCACCCGGGCCACCCGCCGTTTCACGCACCCGGCGGCAGGCGGGGGGCTGTTGGTCTGGGGGTGGGGAAGGGCTTGGGGTGTCGGGGGGGTTGGGATTGGGGGTTGGGATGGGAGGTGAAGGGTTGTGAAGGATGGTGAAGGGGTGTGTCTGGTTTGAGGGTTCCTGCTGAGTGTGTCTGGTGAGGAGCGGGAGGTGAGGTCGGAAGACACATGGTGAGTTCCCTTCGGTGCGCTTTGGTGTTCAGTTGTGCTACTTACTTGCGCACCGGGTTCCAGTGCGCCGAACATGAGCAGCTTTGCGGCAGGTTCACGCACCGAACATGCGCGTAGAATCAATCGGACGGATCAGAAAGCGTTGGGCATTAGCTTAGCCACTCTCTGAAAGCAACAGCGAGACAAAGGAGCAAACACAAAAAACTAACTGCTCCCCAAACAGGCACCCGGCCTTCTAGGTGCGCAGACGATGTGGTGGGTGTCCCCATGCCCATCCTCAACCAACCCACATTGGAAAATCCTGACAACCCTTCATATTGGTTTCAGCTCTCTGTAGGCACAGAAGAATGGTGGCACCAATCCTCAACAGAAGCACATCAGAAACACCTTGCGCATCTCTGCCAGATTTGGCCCCAAAAAACAATCACATCCCTCGCAAGGTCTTTTTTGCGGGTACCAGATCTCTTATGCTTCGATCTAAGCCTCAAGTCATTTCATGCTGGACCTTGGGAGTCCGTTTCGGGCAATCGTTTTGGTAAGATCCCAGCTGCTTTGCCCAGGCTCACAGCTCAACATGCGAACGCCTCCACATTCGGGATCCTGCGCTTTTGGGTTGACCTCAGGAAGAGTGCCAATAAACACCTAGGACCTGCTTGGCCTGAACTGGAGTGCTCTGCTTCCGAAAGAATCCTGCTTCCGAAATCGAGCGAATGTCCACTTCTGGTCGAGACTTGCAGGGCCAACGGCTGGGCAGGCAGGCAGTTGGGCCAACGGGGCGTCGGGGAACGCCGGTCTCTGCTGAGGCCTGTGCGATGTGGGCGGCCGGCCGCCTAGCGGTGCCAAGCGCGTCAAGCTGCGTGTCAAGCGTTCTGCCGCTGTGAGCGCGAAGGAAGTCTTCGAGGGATTTCTGCGAGGTCGTGACTCTTGGAATATTGGGCAACTGACTGGGCAACCATGCATACTGCCTTTCTGGGGGAAGCCCGGCGGGTCGTCTAGTGTTCTTGGATCACATAGGAGTTAAGGCTCCAAGCCGAGAAATCTTGACGACAATACACAACTAGGGTCCCCCTGTTTTGACCCACTGCCATCAAGACTCACAGGGTGGAGCCAACTGGTGCAGCAACCTCGTGGGCCTGGCTAAACGCTTGGCGAGCTCAGATCGTGCTTTGATTAATGGTCGACTCTGACGACTCTTGGCGGGACACTTGTACAAGCCCGACATGGGAGATTAGATTGGTCGGTGAAGTCTGTAATTAGGTTGCAAGCACGAACCTGAGGCGACTGCGTGAACCAAGTGCCAGCGACCATGAGGGACCTTTTTTGGCGAAGCAGAATCAGATAGGACGTGGGTACCCATTGCCCATGCACACCATCCAACAGCAAACAATCCTTTCCATGTTCCCGCAACCGTCTCAGTCAGCTAGCTGGTTTCTTTTTCGACTCAACGCGTCATGCATCCTAACGAATGAACCCCAGCGATCCAGTATGAAAATAGGATGCATATTTTGGGCGCGTCCTGCGTGTCCAAGCTGAGCATGATAGTGTCGACATCGTAACCTTCGATTTTTGCAAGTGTTTCATGCGGGTACGTCCTGCACGTCCTGCGCGGGCCCCTCTTGTGACTTGGTCCTTTTTGCTTGTGGTCCTTCTCCGGTTGGTTTGTGGAGCGGCCAAATCGCCAAGAAACCTGCATGGTGTTGCATAAAAATCTGCGATCCTGTGTGTTCGCTCCTATCGGTACGCAGGGTGTTGGCAGTTCAATGTGCAGCATGTCTTATGGTCTTGCAGGGTGTTCACACTGCGCGACATCTCTAATTGATCTCCACATGAACATCCATGAGGTGCAAGCATGCTTATGACTACCTGGCAAAGCAAATATGACAAAATGGATATGGATATGTGTAATATTACATCACTTGGGTGTATCTATATGGCAAGCTATATGGCAAAGTGGATTGCCCAAGCAGATACGGCAAAATGGATTTGTGTAAACATTCCAAGTGGTCCAAGCGAAAACGAATGCTTCGTGCTTACACCGAGGTGTCTTTTTCGTGCCCTGACGGCACGGCTCGTGACGCCACTAGAGCTGAAGCCCAGCCGTCTGGCCGCAGGTTTGTTCTTGGTTCTTTCGTCCAGTTCGAAGGAGCATCAAACATGTGGAGCAGCTGGATGAGCCTGGAAGTCAGCCTGGTAACACTGGATGCAGTGGGACGTCAGCAACATGAGCGCGGCGAAGTCACGAAACCTCATGAGCTGGGTGTTACGGGTCGTGACGGGTCGTGACGCTGCGAGGCTCAGGGACTTCGGAGTGAAGAAAGGGCGAAGTTCGGCCGCGGCGACTGGTGTCGACCAAGGCTCCGGGTGTTCCACCAAGGCTCGCGGCTTCTCTCTCCGGCATTGTGCATCACACTGGCCCCAGGCTGTGCCACAGGCTCAGCCACATGCGCTGGATCTCGCTGATGATGTCACTTGATCCATCGAGGAATGCGATCAAAGGGTTCTTGGCCGCGGACGCCTCCTCTGCTCGGCTTCTGCGTCGGCCCGTTGAGGGACGACAGATCAGTGATCGCAAGCAGGAAGCGAACGGCTCAGGGTCGTACTTGGCATACTTTGTGGACCAGTGGTTTTATCCTGCGGATGCACAGGAGGCGAGGCTGCAAGCTTGCTCATCCGCCACATCTGTGCTCGCTGCTTTGTCTCTAAATGTCTTTTGGCATGGGAGGCTGCCAAGTATGGCTGGCGATGCTTTTTGTTGCGGCTGTCCTGCGTGCGAATTCGCGCTTTCTTCCCCCATGCCTTTTCGTGAGCCTGGGTGTTGATTCTGCATGTTTTCTCTTGATGATCTTCTCTGCGGCGCTGGAAGTTCCTAGCTCCTAAGTGGGCTGGCCAGCTGCTAGTGTTGTTCATAAGCATGTTTTTCTCACAGTATTTTGCCAACAGGGTGATGGGGGCGGATATTCTTCCAAAGGAGGTATAGATGAATTGTCCAACATTAAATCGGATCTGAATGCGCAGAGCCCGCTGTCGATGTCGAGAAAACCTCGCCATCACGTTCGATCACCTCGCCATCAGTGTCCTGCCGGACCATCTTGGTGCTGGTTCTGACCGGGTAGACCATTACTCTTTGACATCTTACTTTCCGTTGACGCTGCACACTGACATGTAAGAGCAACTCGCCAACCTACCCAAGTTCAACCGTCTATGGCTTACTCAACTCCCAGGTTCAGAGGTTCAGGTTGCTGCATACCGAACCTGCCACCACCGCTGCGTATGGCATCGACGTCACGTCACCGTCATGTCTTCTCCTTGGACGGTCGAGGTTTCATCCGGTCCAATTCGAAGAGACGTTCGTGTCAATGGTGGGATCATGGTATCGAATTTCAGGGCGAAGAGGATGAAGCTCTCTGTGCTTTCTCGGTTTTTGTGGCACTCCGTCAGAATTTGAGGTGCAATCCAAGCAGGGAAGCATCACAAACAGTATCCCAAAAAGAGATACATGTGCTACCGGTGGTTGAAACTAGAAAAGCGAAACTCGCTCCTGGCATGACTCCCCTAGTAGCTCGGAAGTCCCAACAAAACCTTGCAACGAAAAAGTGTTGCAAACAATTGGCAAACAGCACACACACAGACATTGAGGCAGAGGGATGCTCCCGCGGCAAGACCACATGACTGACCAGGACGAATGGAGGCCACACGCTACGCCATGGTACGCCCAATCTATGACCAAGTCTAGCTGCTTGATGCGAGTAGGCTAAAGCAAATCGTTATCGTATGTGTTCAAAGGTCGTGTGATCGTGAAAGTCTTTCATCTTTCTTAGCGAGAATGCCTGCTCATTGGCCTTAGCGAGAGGGCACGTAGGGGGTTGAACATGGTTGAACCACGTTCCTCCTTTGTCAGCAAAAGACTTTGTGACACCTCCATGGATGCAGATGGCACCCTCGGTCGGCTGCGACCGCCCGATCTCGGGCGCTCGCAGCTCGACGACCGAGCACCTCGACCACCGAGGTACTCGGATCACATCGGTCGAGGACGCCGCCCCGGTGGAAGTGATGCAAGCCCTGTAGCAACCTGAAACGGCGGAGTAGTGGGTTCTCAGATGCTACCTATTGAAGCAATGTTGAGTTCACTTTGTGGAGAAGCTCTTTCATGGGCACGCGCACCCCGCGGGCAATGACATGAGCATGACATGTGGAAAAATGCCTCGTGTCCACGCAATGACGCAGTGGCAAGTCCATGCCGCCGCACCCCCCGGCGGGCTTTGCGTATGCCCCGCCCGGCGGGCTTTCTGGAGGATCGAGGCCGGTGAAAAGGTCAAAAGTGATTGCGTGATGGCAACCGTGATGGCACCCCACAGCAATCAAGCTGTGCAGTCCACCATCGTGGAGACACCGAACAATGGCGGCCGACATGTGGAGAAGCAAAAGTGTTTGATCGTCAGCAATGCACGGTCCGAACGAAAGAAATGACAAAGAACCGAATGCCGCACCGATTGTTTCCCAATAAAGCAGGTTCTTGGTTATCAACAATTTTGCACGGTTCAATGCAACTTGGGTGAAACTTTGGCACCAATGGTCTAAAAAAGAAACAGGGGATATGATTGACCCCCGCCCGTCTGTGACGGTGCTTCTAAAGCAGTCGGCGCCATGTTTCAGCAGGATTATAAGGGTTTGTCGGCTGGCCTTGGCTACGCCCGGTTTTGCTAGCATTTGCATGATGAGATCAGGGTTTGCACACGTACACGATCGAACACGCGAGATGGGAATGGTGAATTTGCGGCGTCGTTTTCGTCCTTACTGAAGATCCGACAGGGCGAGTAGCGAAGGAAGACACTTCGACGCAGAGTCAGGTCAGGTCTCTT